CCCTGGTGGTGTAGTGGTTAAGAGCTACAGCTGCTAACCAAAAGGTCAGCAGTTTGAATCCAGCAGGTGGAAACACTTTGGGGCAGTTCTACCCTGTCCTATGGGGTCACTATGAATTGGAATCGACTTGGCAGCAGTGGGTTTGGTTTTTTTCTTTTTTGGTTGTTCAGGGTGGAACAGTCTGCAAGAGCAAGGGCGGTACAGAATTTTAACAAACAAGATTAAATGATTACCTGATTTATGTTATCAATTTTAGGAAGATAAGAAAATCAGGTGGGATTCCTTTCCGTGGACACTGCATACTTCCAGTGATTTATTTCATAATAAATACAAGGGTTAACTACTTCTATCATTTATACTTTCATATGAATTACTTCTTTGATGTCTTAAAACTGACTTATGAAACAGGAAGGGTAATATTCCCATTTGAGCAGATGAGGAAAATGAGTCTCAGAGAGATCAGATGACTTCCTGAGTCTTACACTTGACCAAGTGCCCTCCAGCTTGGTAACTCTGGGTAACGTTAATTTTTCGGAGCTTCAGTTTTCTGACTAGATAGTCTAAGGCTCATGTGAGAAATTGCAGAGATTCATAATTTGGGCTAGAAAGTAAAAACTGGACCCCTTCCTTCTACCAACAGAATATTGGTTGAGGTGGGAAGTGGGAAGGGGCCAGTGCCCACTCCCTGAAGGTGGCAGCTTCTCCAGAAGTAGCTAGCCCACCTCCTTCCTGGGGCCTATGGCAGGCCTGCCCTTCTGTGCCATCTCAGAAGCAATATCTCTTCAAACACAATCCCTTACCAGGGTCCCAAGGAAATGAAAATAAGGACATGACCCAAAGCAATCACTGCAATAAGGCACACACACGTACTGTGAAAAGTATAAGCAGCACGCAAATGAGGCTGACAGCTGAGTCTGTCAAGTCCACACCCCATCACAATGCCTAATGGCTGCTATTAATCTGTAACTGGGAGAAATCACTAATTCCATGGCTTTCATAAAACACAGACGTCCATAACACACGTGTTTCGGTGGATATTTTTTCCTTCCCTAGGGCAGCCAGTATAGTACTACACTAAAAGCAGGCTTTGTTCTAATGGTTTCCTGTGTTTTCCTAATGAAAATTCTAATTGACAACCACCGGGAGAGTAACAGTGTAAAGCAAAGAGAGCTCTGGTTTCTCCCATTCTTCCGGGATCCACCTTAAAGGAGTGCTCACTTCTTAAGTTTCCAGGGCCAGTCTCTGGCTTGGGCTTTCTATGGACACATGCAGGTCTGGACATCAGAAGTTTATCATTTAAAGTAGTCAAACCCTAAAAACTGAAAGATTTACTCTTTCCAACTTCAAAGACAGAAAAGTTGATTTAATTCCCAGACTCAGAGTATCAGGTCCTTCCACGGCTAATAAGCATATTATAGAAAAATGCAACCACGCCTTTTCCACGTAAAGGTGGGGGGCAGGGCTCTAAAAAAAATTAAGCACACAATGAGATTCTTCAGAAATAGTTGCCTTAAGACTACTAAAGGCATTGCTATTCAATGGATTCATTACAGAATAATAGTTTAAGTACCCAACGGAGTGATTTTCATATGAATGTTGGGTGTTGCCTCGCCCCCTACAAGAATCTCCCATCTACAGAGAGAACCAAGTCACACCCAGCAAGGCAAGGGAGCTGTGAGTGACAGGTATAGAGAAAGAGCTGTTCAGACAGGAGACAGACATTACTGGACCTTTTTTTAAATGAAACTTTGAAGATTTTGTTAGGCTTTCTTTACTAAACTGTCAAAAGAGAACAATACGGTTGTAAATGAGTGGTGTTCGCTGCTGGTCAGAGATATGGAATAAGCATTAAACAAGGACTGAAAGCTGCTAGGCTGACCTGACACCCAATAAGAATATTCTCAAATAAATTAGGACACTCACTCCACTCACACAAACCAAAACCAACATAAAAATTTCTGTCTGAAAGAAGAGCAGCAAAGAATTCTCCTTCCTCTCCCTGAATCTCTCCTCTCTCCAGTGTCCAGGTCCATGCGTTTCTGGTTGCATTATACAGATCAGGTGAAGGGAGGCTGGTGGAAGAGGTGGGAACATACCATTTATCCTCCATTTTCTAGACAGAAAGCAGAGAAAAGACTTAAAGGAGGGAAGCACAGCATGAATGAACGGGCAGGGACACCAGCCCAGGAGTCAGGAGGCCTGAATCCTACTTCATCTAGTGTCTGCCCTGAACTGTATGCAAGGTAACAAGCCCCTTGGCTTCCTCGAGTTTCCATGTACTTATCTGTAAAGGAAAGGATTCATCCAGATCAGTGGCTCTCAAACTGCATTTCTTGGAGCCCTAGGGTTCTGTGGAGGCCCTCCAAGGCAGCCATAGCACCCCATGCTTCCTTTTAACTCAAAACAGTTCAGGGTTGTTTTATGTTATATATTGGGCTTGTGAGTAATGTCTTTTGTTCGAAGAGTTTTATTACCCAAATCTACCACCCGTCTGTCAGCTTGTACTGTGGTGGCTTGCATATTGCTGTGATGCTGGGAGCTTTATCACTGGTATTTCAAAAACCAGCAGGGTCACTCATGGTGGACAGGTTTCAGTGCAGCTTCCAGACTAAGAAAGACTAGGGAAAAAGGCCTGGCAATCTACTTCCAAAAATGAGCCAAGGAAGTGGCCATCCAAGGCAAGACAATTGGTCTCTTTCCACCTGGAGCAACAAAGGAAGAAAGAGAGTCAGGAATAGGAGGAGGACATGAAATGTGTGGCTAACTGCCTCTATGAACAAATGCCTCCTGTTATTGGAAGAGGCTGCACAGGCCTGGTTCACTATTATTTACTCTCCATTGCTAACCGCCACATTGTCTCATGATCTTGTTTCTCCCGTCTCTACGAAATGTTTAAGATTAACCGATGTTCCTCCTTGGAGGGTAGGAAAAAAGTGATAATGATCTAACGATGAAAAAAAAAAACAAAGCACCCATCTTGTGACAAGAAAAAGCAGGATGTCGCCAGATAATCCCCAAGGATGTCACCAGATAACCTCTAAGAATACCAGTAGAAGGTTAACTCATCTAAGACATCACCACCTCAAGGGGAAACTAACAGAAACTTCTAAGATCCATATCCTGTCCCTACAAAAAGCCTTCCGCTGATCTCCAGTGGGGGAAGACGGGTTTTTTGGAGGAATCTATCCCCCTCTGTCTCCTATATATGGATATATAATAAACATCTTGCTGCTCACCTCATCCCTGTATCAGAATTGGCTATTGCAGCAGGCAGCTACAATCCGCATTATTGCGGTAACATTATGGACTGAATTGTGTCTCCCAAAAATATGTGTATCAATTTGACTAGGCCATGATTCCCTGTATTGTGTGACTGTCCACCATTTTGTCATCTGATGTGATTTTCCTATGTGTTGTAAATCCTCTCTCTATGATGTTGATGAGATGGGATTAGCAGCAGTTAGGTTAATAAGGCAGGACTCAATCTATAAGATTAGACTGTATCTTCGGGCAATCACTTTTGGGATATAAAAGAGAGCAGAGATGCAGGGGGACCTCATACCACCAAGAAAGCAGAGCCAGGAGTACGTGTCCTTTGGACCTGGGGTCCCCATGCTGAAAAGACTGATGGGAAGACAGATGACAAGGACCTTCCTCCAGAGCCAACAGAGAAGAGAAAGCCTTCTCCTGGAGTTGATGTCCTGAATTTGGACTTGTAGTCTACTAGACTGTGAGAGAATAAACTTCTCTTTGTTGAAGCCAATTACTTGTGGTATTTCTGTTACAGCAGCACTAGATAACCAAGACACCTCCTTTGCCATGAGACCAGAAGAACTGGGTGGTGCCCAGCTACCATTACTGAACATTTTGATCAAAGATTCTATAGAAGCATCCTGGTCAAAAGGAGGAAAAAGCAGAATAATTTTAAATTCCTCATGAACTCCAGACTTTCTAGAGCCATGGAGGCTGGATGAACCCCCAAAACTGTTGCCCTGAGATAATCTTTAAAACTTAAACCAAAAATATCCCCTGAAGTCTTAAAACTAAACAGTAGTTTAGCTTAAATAGTAAAGAATGTCTGCCTTGAGTAGTATGATCTTTTAAGATCTATCTATACGGGATCAAACTGACAAAAGCAACTTGAAAAATTAGATAGGAAACTTACGGGGGCAGTCAACTTATGTTAACGGAGGAGGAACAACTCAGAAAAGGAGGCTGAGAATGGTTGTACAACTTGAAGAATGTAATAGCACTCAATTGTACATGCAGAAACTGTTGAATTGGTGCATGTTTTGCTGTGTATATTCTCAACAACAACAACAAAATAAGTAAAATTAAAAAAAAAAACAAAAAACCCTATGGATGACAACAGAATATTGTCTGATACAGTACTGGAAGATGAGCCCCTTAGGTTGGAAGGCACTCAAAATATACAGTGTCTGCAATAGTAGACTTGAGCATACCAACAATCATGAAGATGGCACAGGACTAGACAACGTTTCATTCTGTTGTACATGGGGTGACCGTGAGTTGGAGTCAGCTCAATGGCAACTAACAACAACAACAACAAATTTCCAAGACAATCCACAATTAAAATGACTTAAAAGCATTGGACTAGTGTCCCTTTTGTTTTGTTCTTCCATTTTTATCATTACGTGGTTTCAGTGTGCTTCTCTGGATTATTGTTATTAGAATTAACCAGCTGACAGGCTGGTTAATATTGGTCCTCAATCCTGTATATGAGGTTCTCTTATTCCTACTTAAAAGATGAGAAAAATGAAATTCAGATAAGATAAGTGTCCCAAATCACACAGCTCAATGGCTGACAGGATTCAAACCCAGGAATTTCTGATATTAAAACCATTAAGCTCAGTTCTATTCCTATAGTTAAAGAATAAACTTCATGGTAAAAAACAAACAGGTTACCTCATTATTACAGCCATTCTTTCTCCATGGAACATCAAGTTCTTCATCTTTATTCTCTAAGAGCAAACACTTACCCTGGCGCGAAGAAATGAATAGCCACAAGTTCTGCCCAGCAGGCATATCTGTTGGGTACGGGAAAGCCCAAAACGTTGACAAAGCTTCCAGGACAGTAATGGTTATTAAGAACTTTCAAAGCAAATAAAACTCCTAAAAGAGAATAAAGAGCACACAAGTATCAATAACCCAAATGTGGAGAGGAACTAGGGAATCAACATTTGCTAAGAAAACTAATTAAATGTGAATATGATCATTCAACTACATCTACGTTTTTCTTTTGTAATATTCCATTCCTTCCAACACGTCACCCAGCACTCGGTAAAAAAAGACAGAAGAAAAGTTCAAGGTAAGCATTCTTTTGAGGTTTCTTAGCATAGAAGTTCATAACGACTTTCAGTATACTACTAAATACACAACACTTAAAATGGGGATAAGACAGCAGCAACGTGTACTTCTCTAACCTCTACGGTGGAAAGACATGTGGAAGGCAGGGCATATTTTCTATCTTCTCCAAGATCAGATGTATAAGGATGCATCTTGGCAGGGAATGGGGAGAATGGCAAGTAGAAGGGAAGGATTAGATTTCCTTCTGCTTGAGAACTATTTTCCTACTCTTCCTCCCATTCTAATTTTTAGAACACCTAACTTAAACCCCGATGGCAATTTCAGCCCTGTGGAATAGATGCCAAAAAAAAAAAGAGAGAACTAGTGAAGGGGAAAAGTGAGAGGCCATGAAACACATGGTTCAAGTCATATAAGACCAGGTTCAAATCCCAGCTTGCCGCTCACAAGCTGTGGGACGGTGAGCAAGTTTCCTCACTTCTCTGGGTCTTACCTTCCTCATCTGCAAAAATCAAAACAATGCCAACTCTATGGATCTGCTGTTATGAATTACACAGGAGTCATGTAGAGTGACCATCCTGGTTCCTAAAACACGGAGCACATGCCATGGGTAGGGTGTGGTGCATTAATTTTAATGGAGTTGTTGAGAGGTATCCCTCTCTTTTTTGAGAACTCCCTATCACAGTACACCTGAGGAGCTATCCTGGTCCCACCAGGATGGGACCATTGCCATGTGTCCAGGATTCCATCTCCCTGCAGAACCACCTTCAAGTCGGCCCCAGTCCAGATTGTCCAAGAGTGAAAGATACAGCATGGCGCAGAATAGCAAAACCTGTGTCTCCAATCAGCCTCTTCTCCAAAATCTGAGCCCCGGCAGCTCTTGACCTCTCAGAACTCAGTGCCTGTACCAACTAGGGACCCACACTTCAGTAACGGACAGCAGGCACACCTCCCCTGTTCTCATGCATGCTGCCTCAGGAGTTCACCTGCCTTACCTGAGAAGCCTACAGCACAGTTCCTTTGGAAATCAGGTTCATCCAAAAATGCTGCAAGAGAAAGTTCCAAAAGCAGGTACACCACCCCAGTGAGCAGGGAGAATGTGGTGATGACATAGGCAAACCATCTGCTTCCCAGTCTTCTTTCCAGGTTGATTCCTTTCCACAGCATGGATGCCATATTGAAATACAGATGCCAATCGTCTACATGGTGAAAAGGGGAAAGCAGTAAACGCTGCCAGTCTTTTTGCTGGTAACACTTCTCCACACTAATGCAGGAGTCATACAGGGGCTTCACAGGATTCAAGAAGAGCCAGGTATTAAGTGCCAAAGTTGCTAGGGTGACAGGTGGAATATTGTTGATCCCAACATTGAAGATCTGAGCAAGGAGCAGAATAAGCCCAGTATTAATCCCTCTTGATCTCCGCTGCATGGTTAAATATCAGGAAAACAACCCAGTGATGGAAAAATACGGTCAAGTTTTAGGAGTTTGGAGAGCTATAGACAGCCAAACCTAAAATATAAAATAAAATGCATGTGAAAACCCATGAACTAAGGATCAATACATTAATGAGACATATTCTCTTACAGCGGAGCTTACGTTATATATATATCTTACCTCTCATCCTAACAGAAACATCTATTTTCACTATCTTTCAAAGCAACATCCAGAGTGCTAGCTGACACCCTTCCTTCATTTTACATTATAAAACAGATATTCTATCCCGAATCCCAATGGACTAGTTAACGGACTGGCATGCTTTCTCTCTGACAAATATGCCATGAAAATACAACTTGCCCCCCTGAAACTACTGCCCTGAGATAAAATTTAAACCTTAAACCAAAAATATCCCCGAAAGTCACCTTAAAACCAAACAATAGTTTAGCTTAACTAGTAAAAACGGCCTGCGTTGAGCATTATGCTCTTTTAAGAACTATCTATATGGGATCAAACTGACAGCAGTGACGTAAAAGACTGGACAGGAAACTTAGAGCACGGTGAGTTTGTGTTAATGAGGAACAACTCAGAAAGGGAGGGTGAGAATGGCTGCACAACTCTAAGAATGCAATCAATGTCGCTAAATTGTGCATGCAGAAATGGTTGAATTGGTGTTATGTATTGCTGTGTATATTCCCAACAACAACAAAATAAATAAAATTTAGAAAAAGAAAAAAAAAGTTGAATTGGCCAAAGTTGTGTCATATATTTACAACAATGACACACACAAAAATAGTAGCTGCTGAGGCCGATTATATACAGCCAAAAACCTCACAGGATTTGGTTTCTTGATTTGGAAGTTTAGGGTCATGGTTTCCTGGGACATCCCAGTTAACTGGTCTAATAACATGTTTAGTGCTCCTGTTCTAATGCATAGTGCCTGGGATCTTAAAAACGTGCAAGCGGCCATCCAAGGCACAGCAACTGGTCTCTGTTTACCTGGATAACAACAAAGGAAGAAGGAGAGTCAGGAATAGGAGAAGGATATGGAATGTGTGGCTAACTGCCTCTATGAACAACTGCCTCTTCTGTCATGAGACCAGAAGAACTGGATGGTGTTTGGCTACAATTACTGAAAATTTTGATCAAAGATTCCATAGAAGGGACATAAAATGATACCTGTGAAGACTGTGATTCTTAGCTCAAGTAGATACATGAGACTAAATGGGCAGCTCCTGTCCAGAGGTGAGACGAGAAGGCAGACAGAATTAGGAGCTGGTTAAATGGACAACGAAAATCAGCGGTGGAAAGGAGGAGTGTGCTGTCACAGTATAGGGAGAGCAATCAGGGTCACAACAATGTATGTATAAATTTTTGTATGAAAGACTAACTTGAATTGTAAATTTTCACTTAAAGTGCAACAATAAAATTTAAAAAAGATTCCATAGAAGAATCCTGATCAAAAGGGGGAAAATGTAGAACAGAAAAAAACACTGCAACTTGTCTTCCTTATAAACAAACTTCTAACCTAATGAAAAACTACAAAAGATAGTGTAAAAATATTTAACACTGATTTCTGCTCAGAATGCTGGTAATAATTCTTTATACTCATCATCTTATAAAATAAATATTCTATTTTAATATATTAGATTATTTGCTCCGCAGTTGTTAAATGTCAACAATCAAGTTAAAAAAATGCAAGCATATATTATGTTCTATTCCAACTTCCTATAGGGTTGCTATGATTCGGAATGGATTCAACAGCAACAGGTTTTGGTTTTTTATCCCAACTTCTATATCACCAGATAACAACTGCCTGAATGCTTTATTTTCACAAAAACTTCAGGTTTTAAAAGTTACCTACTATTTGCCAAATTCTGGATTAAAACACAGTGACCATTTTTAAGGAGCTCACTTTCCACTAAGAGGTAAACCAGCAACTGGCACACAACGTTCTCTATGCAGTAATGGAGAGAGCCCAGGCTAACGGCACACATTCAGCTTGAGAGTGATGAGTATGACCTTTAAAGATGAGTTGGAGTTAGCCAGCGATAAAGAAGAGTTTCCTGGTTCAGGAGTCTCCTTCTCCACCCAATGAATCTGGGCTGGCCTTGTGACTTGCTTTGGCTGACAGAATGTGAGGGAAGGGGCATTATATAAGTTCTATGCCAAGGCCTCAAGATGCTTTGAAGGTTGAAACCCTCCCAAGCAACCATGTGCACAAGTCTGGGTTAGCCTGCTGGATGATGAAAGACTTACGTCCCAGTCATCTGGGTGGCCTTGGCCACTAGCCCAGCCAATGCCCCAAAAGCAAAGCTGTCTAGTTGACTGGCAGCTAACCACAGATGCATGAGTGAACCCAGCTGAACCCAGCCTAATTTGCTGACCCATAGGAACAGTGAGCTAAATAAATGCTGGTTGGTTTAGTTCACCACGTATTGGAGTGGTTTGTTACACAGTAATTGCGAACTGATATATAAAGTATTTTGCTTTGAGGAGGGACTGGTTTATTCTCATGGCACGAAGCTAGTGAAGAGACAGTAGGAGACAGAGACTGAAGATGTAAGAGATTAAAAAGAAAAAAAGACTCAAGTCCATGGAGGAAGGAGCCTTTTTCATCACAACAGGAGGAAAGAAGCAAATGTCAGGTGTAGATGTGGGTTAATAGGCAGATTAGGGGACACGTTGTTGGAAAAGTTCTCATCCAGTCAGTTACAACTCATAGTGGCCCTATACGACAGAGCAGAACAGCCCACAGGGTTTCCAATCAATCACAGCTCTTAACCACTGCACCACCAGGGCTGCCGCTCGGTAGAGTTTACTTGGTTCCCAATCAACGTGCTTACGTACTCTCAAATCCCAAAGATTCTAATTCAGACAGCACACGAGAAACTGCAAGGGCTTTGAAGCTAAAAAGGAGAGGATTCTCCTGCTTGTCTTGGGCAAATCATTTAAACTCTCTAAATCTCAATTTCTTCATCTTTAAGTTAGGAAGGATAATACTTCCTTCCTAAAATTGTTCTAACATTTTCAGAATAAATCCGGTGTTGAATAAATGGTAGTCGCTAGGAGGAAGAACTGACGCAACGGCACATGACAACAATAATTTTTATTACTCTAAGGTAATGTTACTTCAGTACAAATTAATTCCTTTGTAAATGACAGTAAACTAATCTCAAATGTACTCCTCATTCTCCCATACGGATTCTAATTAACATCAGTCCCAAAAGAAATAATCTAGAAAAAATTATATATCTACACCTGAACCTGGAGTCCCTAGGTGGCACAAATGGTTATGCACTCAGCAACTAAGCAAAAGATTGGCAGTTTGAATCTACCCAGTGGCACCTTCGAAGAAAGCCCTGGCTATTTACTTCCTAAAGGTCACAGCCACTGAAAACCCTATGGAACACAGTTCTAATCTGAAACACAAGGGGTCACCATGAGTTAGAATCAACTCGACAGCAACTGGTTTGATTTAGGTTTTTTTTTTACATGTATATCTATATCTTATGGCTCTCCATTGTTAGCACAACCAAAATACATCTCCATTATTAGTACATTCAGGATTCTTTTATTGCCATGGGCTTATTATTTTTAGTTTTATGGCATTCTCATGAATTAAGAGAATTTAATGAAATCTCAACTAAAAAGCTCCCAAATAACATTAGGAGAAATAGTGTCTATTTAGCATGTTGGAAATCAAGTAGATTTTTACTTCTCCAACTACTGTGATTTTCTTTTAATTCCCCTAACACACACACACACACACACACACACACACACACACTCTCTCTCAATATCACTACAGTGTCCTATGGCTACCAGGCTATCCACAGCAGAAAATCAAAACTAATTCTATCTTTGCTTAAGTTCCCAACCATTTGCCACTGCTGCCCACTGCTGCCCAGAGTAATCTTTTATAAAATTTCAGTAGTTGGATCCCCTTGCTATAAACCTTCAATGGCTTCTCATTACAGTGAGAGAAGTCTAAAGTCTTTACCATAACTACAAGCTTGTTATTACCAGGACCCTGCCTAGCCTTCCAGTCTCATCTCATTCTAGTCTCCATCTCGGTCCCTGTGCTCCAGGCACACGGGTCTTCTTTCAGCTCCATGATTATGGCATAAATGGCCCAAAGCAAGAACTACTTGACAGTTTCAATCACCACAAAGCCTAACAAAAAAACCTGTTGCCATCGAGTCGATTCCCACTCACAGAGACCCTATAAAACAAAGCAGAACTGCCCCATAGGGTTTCCAAGGAGCAACTGGTGGATTGGAACTGCCAACCTTTTGGTTAGCAGCCGAGCTCTTAACCACCACGCCACCAGGGATCCAAGCCTAACACTCGTAAACCTGTTGTTGTGGAGTCGATTCTGACTCATAGCGACCCTACAGGACAGAGGAGAACTGTCCATTAGGGTTTCCAAGGAGCAGCTGGTGGATTCGAATTGCCAACCTTTTGGTTAGTGGCCAAGCTCTTAACCACTGTGCCATGAGGGCTCCGTTAAGCCTAACACAGTGAGTGGTATATAATCAGTACTTAATAAGTATTTGCCAAATGACCCAAGATTATTGTTGTTGTTGTTGTTGGGTGCCATCGAGTCAGTTCCAACTCACAGCGACCGTATGTACAACAGAACAAAATACTGCCCTGTCCTGTGCCATCGTCACAATCATTATTATGCTTGAGCCCACTGTTGCAGCCACTGCGTCAATCCACCTTGTTGAGGGTCTTCCTCTTTTTCACTGAGCCTCTACTTTACCAAGCATGATGTCCTTCTCCACGGACTGATCCCTCCTGATAACATATCCAAAGTATGTGAGACATAGTCTCGCCATCCTTGCTTCTAAGGAGCATTCTGGTTGTATTTCTTCAAGACAGATTTGTTCATTCTTTTAGTAGCCCATGCTATATTCAATATTATTCACCAACACCACAATTCAAAGGAGTCAATTCTTCTTCGGTCTTCATTATTCACTGTCCAGCTTTCGCATGTATATGATGCAACTGAAAACATCATGGCTTGGGTCAGGCGCACCTTAGTCTTCAAGGTGACATCTTTGCTTTTC